CTGACTCAATGGCACCTAACAACAACAACAAACCATTTGACCTGGCTTCAATTGCTGAATGATCAGAACTCAACTAGAGGGAGAAAGAAGAGGAAAAAAAGTAATTCACTACAATTTGATGAACTTGACCTATACTTATAGACAAAGTAGCTCAAAAGAAGGGAGAAGGGGACAAATCTTTACAATGAGGGTCATCCCCACCCCTTCAGTACACAGGGTTGACAGGGATGAGCAACTTAGACATTGGTTACCCAAAATGGGGGGGCGCTACAATGGCACAAAGTGACTGGCTTACAAGCTTTCAAGAGTGAGCCTAGTTCCAGAGAGTGTGGGGGAAGGTAGAATCTCCAGTGAGTGATTTCCAATCTGTCTGGACGGGGCTGATGAAAGGAGATATGGATAGGACTCTTAGGGTTCAAGAGTGAATAATTTTTATCAGGACTGATTGTGAATGTTGCACATGTAAAGGTAAATGTTTTGTTACAAAAGGAGGGGAGTTGTTGATCTTGCAGTCCAGGAGCCGAGAACTTGGGGCCATCAAGGGAGAAGACAGGAGTGCAGGACCCTACCCAGAAAAGCAGTGAGCCAGAGATGGAGGCAGAGATGATGATGTGGAGAGATGGAGCAGCTGGAGACTCTGGACTCATGCAGGGAGAGAGGAGCTGTGTGCTAATGGCCGGGGCCAGGCTTGCAAGGGGGACGGGGGCACCCTTTGGTTGTTTGGGTGGTTATATATTCCTGAGTGCTTTGGTGTACACCTTAAAAAGAACAGAGGGAATAGAAGCAAATGCTGTTGAATGATGATGCATGGAGGGAATTGTAATCATTACAATGAAACGAAATACTATAAGATGAACTTAAAGCTGATGTTCCCCCATGTAAACTAACAATTCACAATAAAAACTTAAAAAAAGAAAAAAATTCAGGAATATATAATAATTTACACAACCAAAGGGCACACTCTGCAAGCCTGTCTCCTGGCCGTGAGCACTCAGCCACTCTCTTTCCATGAGTCTAGAGTCCTCAGCTGCTCTCTCTCTCCAACACATAATTAATCTTGATAGGTGATAATATGCTAGAAATTTTTACTTTACTCAATATTTGTTTACTCAA